GTGTTCAGATGAGGCTATGTAAACACGGAAAAGGTGCTCTATAGCTTAAATGTGACTGAGAAAATTATGAACGCACCAGCGTTACTTTGATTGCAGTGCAAATTAAACAATTAACGATAAATTGGCTTGCTCTCAGCCAGTCACGATGAAGTAATTTTCTCAGTCATTAGGTAACTCGGTGACATCAATCAAGATCAAGTCAAGGAAAAAACAGGTAATTTTTTATGTTTCCTTTGCCATGTCATGCATCGGTATCTTTTGATTTATTATTGTATTTAACAGACTTGTACTTAACAGCTCATGCTTTCATAAAAGTAAGCTAAGGGTATGGCTTTTTTTATTATTTGCTTTTACTAAACTTCAATTTCAAGAGAAACGTTTCAGCATCTACAGAATGATCGCTTAACTCACTTGAACAAGACTACACATTAAGAGTACAGAAGAGTAAAAAAACGACAACAGCAATTTGACCGAATAAACGAAGTATTTGTATTTGCACGGCGTTAAACATAATTATGCTCTAAACACTCACTTAAAAACAAATTTTCTCAAATCATGTCAGGCTGTACTGATCAAAACGTGCTCGGTTTAGGTTCAAATTTTACTGACTTTTACTGACTTTTACTTACTGACTTTTGAAGATTACTGGTACACCGATAATAATATAAGGTAATTACAAAAATGAAAGAAAAAGAAGACAGGACCAAGCAGTGATATGGCTGAACTTGATTCTGACTCGATGCCAAGTATGATTCACCGACTTGTTAAGCAGTTATTGGGACAGCGGTGTGCAGCTTGGCGTCATGCGTGTGGTCATCGTAGTAGGGATCTCTTGCTTTTATGCTCCTATACGAAGAAAATGGAAGTATATCATTTGAATTTGCACATGGCAAACTAATGAAAGATGTATGAAATATGCTTAAAAGAACGCCGGTAACGATTAATCATTATAGATTAATGTCGTAACCTTTAATCGTATTTATAACACAATTATCGTGATTGCTTCTCTGCGCGTATATTTGTCATGTATTCGGCGCGCGATCACGTGTGAGTCCAATTACAGGTATCCAGTTGGATACCTGTAATTGGACACCTTCGCCATTTGTGCGTCAATTACGCACGCTTTAATGGCTTCCTTCTTAATGTTCCCTACAGTTTTTACAACTTGTGGAAAACATCACTGACCTTCTCGCTCAAAAGAAGTTCTCAAAGACTTTTTTAATCTTGAAATTTGTTACGATTAATTAGTAAAGAGATCTAGTGTCGTACAATTCAGGGAGAAATCGTGTTTGTAATTTCTATTCAGCCTCACGCGGTGCACCCGTTCGATTTTGAAATTACTCTCCCGATTACTCCCTGAATATTGTACTGCACTAATTACATTACACACAACGTGACAAGCGTTGAAGGCGAACGAAGGAAAAAGTGGAACAAAACCTCGAAGATGATACCAAAGTGGGGGCTATCATCAAGGTCTGATAAGCTTTCAGCCCTCCCCTCTCACTTCTTTACGCACCATGACGGAAGAAGTTTTAGGAAAACCCAGAACGCCCTCTGTCGGGGTCAGTACATATTTCGGAAGTCCAGAAGCTTTTGACAATTTTTTAACCAAAACTGCCCATGTACGAACACTCTGTTTTCGTGGTCAGGCGTTTCAATTAGAGACAGTGACATGCAGGGGAATGGGGCGGTAAATATAGTAAAATTTGACTGTACCTGGCTACATAGGGCTTCTTCCAGCGGAGCTCAGCTGTGGTGTTGATATCAGGTCCTAGTGTGTGAACACTAGTTCCTTTTGTGAAGCCATTCGGTAACTGGATCATCACGTTGCCGTCAGTTCGACCCATGCGTTCTTCACCACGTGGATTCATGTCATAATGCCTGAAAAGAAGGCGTGAAAATAAGTTTCGTCTGGAAATATCCAATGGCGTTGCAGTGGCATGGGAGGCGCGGTGGCCTCATGGTTAGTGCGCTCGTCTCCGGATCGAGTGGTCTGGGTCCCAGCCCTGGCCGGGGACATTGTGTTGTGTTCTTGGGCAAGACACTCTACTCTTACAGTGCTTGTCTCCACCCAGGTGTAGAAATGGGTACCGGCGAACTTAATGCTGGGGGTAACCCTGCGATGGATCCATCCAGGGGAGGAGGGGGGAGTAGAAATACTCCTATAGTCACTTCATGCCACAGAAACCGAGATAAGCTCCGGCCTGATGGGCCTCTTGGTTCGTATGCAGACTTATTGCCGTGACACTGGCATTGACAAACATTGTTGTCTAGTTCGACTGTGCAACGCCGGAGTGGAAATTACCTTGGTAATATCCTGAAAAAGACCTCCAACTAGACGTACCAAGGAAAATCAGTCTTAAAAACGAGTGTTTGCTAAGAGAGAGACTAACAAAACCGCTCCGTAAAGCCAGGAAACTTGCAGTAGTTCTTTCTGCTGTTAAACCCGCTTACAAAAGGCAATTCAAGGAGAACCGCTATACTTACTTGGCATTATAGTGAGTTTCAAATCTTCTCAGAGAGTCAACAGTCTCAGCTGTCTCAAAATATTGGTCGTTATTTTCACTGTATCCAGTTAGCTCCTGAAAGAGTCAAGTGGACAAAAAGTAGAACATCAGTTTCTTTTACATTGAAACATCGTTCACCACAGCTTGGAATATCATTCCCATGGCCCAGGGCGCGTCCCGCGCAAGTATTTACATCCAAGATGGTAACCATCCGTGTTTGAACGTCAACGATGAGAAGCAATTCAACTGGGGATGAGCTACTAGGCTGATACTCCTACCCATTGCCTTAAATGTATCTAAAGGCGATCCCTAATGAAAACGAGGGGGATTTGCGAAAACAGAATTGACGAGAGCCTGTCTACTTGAGCCTGTGTACCTCACTTTTCAGCGACTATTGCGGTTAGCCAGGGATCAATAGGTCATTTCCGAGCTGCCTTTTGCCTAATATTTAAATCGCGTCCTCGTGCAAAAAAATATTCGTATAAGAAAATGCTTGAAAATGAACGTGCAGATGAAGACTCGCTTTGACAAAAATACGACTCTGCGAAGAGAACAGGACAAGGCATCATGCTAAACTGACCACAGTATTTAAAAAGCTCTTGGAACTAAGTGGTTGTTGAAATTTTTGGCTCTTTGGGTGTAACATTGGATTTCTGGGTGGCAAAAGCGCTAACGAGCTTATAAATTCTTCGTAAAATTTTCTCGCGCATTACTATATCTACATGCGCTTGTAGCATTTGATCCTTTAAGCGAGACGTTTTTGTTTGTCATGAATTGTTTGAACTGACCTTTGTTCCTGTGGAGACGTTACCCAGTCTCTCCGCTTCCGTTGGATCATTTCTCTGTTTTCCTCTGAATGATAATTTGGCAATGCTGTGGAAATAGAACAATATCTGGCATAATGAGGCAGATGATCTTTCACAGTTACTCAATAGCTTAGCATGACTAGAAGAAGTGAGCTAGCGAAGCTCTGTTCATATCTCATCATCGATGTCCAACGATTTCTTTGTCTCTTGGCCAGGGTTTGCTTCCTTCTCTTGTTCTTACTAAATACTATGAGGGACTCAATGGTAGGTTATCTTCGATAGTTGTCGGTTACAAAGCATAGTCTTTGGCGGCAGGACAGTTAAATTTCGATTGTTTGACGGCTTACTGCCATTTGAGGTCGTCCTCTCTACTATTCTTAAGCAAGAGCCTATGAAGAGACTCTTACTCTTCATTCTCTCTAGCGATCTTGTCGTAAAGTTGTTAAAGTAACGACTTTCGTTACTTTCAGGCCCCGTTTACACGGGTCCGGACAAATTTTTGCACGGACAAAAACTTGCACAGTTCCACCTTGCATTTACAAGGGACCGGCGGAACTGGACGAATTTTTGATGTGCAAGTTTGGGACCTGAAAAAAGCAGGTCCCAAACTTGCACACTTAGCTGTTCAAAATTTCGTCCAGTTCTGCCGGTCCCGTGTAAACGCAAGGTGGAACCGTGCAAGTTTTTGTCCGTGCAAAAATTTGTCCGGAACCGTACGTGTAAACGGGGCCTCAGATATAGTAGCCTTTTTTCCTCTATTATTACCTCCTGCGGGGCGATTCTATCAATTTTCGGTCTCTGTAAAAGTGTGTATAAGAGGACCAACAAAGAAGCTAAGTAAACAGAATATCTGGAACAGACATTACAGGTTTGAAGAAATTTGTATTTTTGATACACTGATTGAAATTTCAAAAGGACGAAAAGTGTTGAAGTTGATCATATACACCGTGTACATTGGTAATGCTCGATCCACCCAGCTACATGTATCATCGTGTTGCACTGTGAAAATACTCGGATACACGTCTTTTTCACTGGCACAAAATGAGATCGGCAGCATAATTACTTGTCTAAACAAAAACATACAGTTATTAGGAAATCGGGCTGAAAACGCCTTAGACGTTTTTGAAAAGAATCGTTACATAGGCAAAGAATAACCGACATATAATCCTTGGTATCTGACTGTTTTTCACTGTTCGTTTCGAAATAGTCATTTATGGTGGCTCCTTTTTGGTGGTGTATTTTTTCATACCGTTACAATCATTTACAGGCCTCAGAATACTCCATTTAGTTTACCTACGGTCAATATCCTTAACTGCTATGCCTTATTTACTCCTTCTAGGCCTCGAGTATGAGTTTGTGCAGGTGAGGCAAGTGAGCGAGATCTATGTACAATCTGTTTTACGTGGCGTGAACCTGAAAAGACTTAAATTAATAGCAAGAATTCTTGGCGCGGGCAGAGAATTAGTTGTCACCATTCATTTTCTTCTTCAAACGCAAGCCACGAGTTTAGCGCGCGTGTAGGCGCGAGCTCAAGTGTACCGCGAGATCTCGACGCGGGAAAATTCTAGAGCGCATTCTCCTCGCAATATCAAAAATGGCGGACGAAGCAACAATTTCAAGTTTACCCAAAGAATGTATGTTAAGCCTCAGCCTTGATGATCAAAGCAGTATATAGTTATCTCAAAATACAAGGTACATGTACCTCGAGGAGTTATGAGGGTTTGCCATGTTGGAGTATTCGGCTNAAATTAATAGCAAGAATTCTTGGCGCGGGCAGAGAATTAGTTGTCACCATTCATTTTCTTCTTCAAACGCGAGCCACGAGTTTAGCGCGCGTGTAGGCGCGAGCTCGAGTGTACCGCGAGATCTCGACGCGGGAAAATTCTAGAGCCCATTCTCCTCGCAAAATCAAAAATGGCGGACGAAGTCACATCAATTTCAAGTTTACCCAAAGGATGTGTGTTAAGCCTCAGCCTTGATGATCAAAGCAGTATATAATTATCTCAAAATACAAGGTACATGTACCTCGAGGAGTTATGAGGGTTTGCCATGTTGGAGTATTCGGCTGGATCCAGCTTTTTTATTCGCTCTTGGACTCGTGAATGAAGGTCGGCAAGTTTTGTGTACTCCTGGCATGAATACATGAAATGATCAGTCCAAAATAACAGTGAGTAGAACATTTTGATAATATAAAGTGGCATTTACACAAGAAATCCAGCTTCAATAACCATAAACAAACTCTGAAAAATAGCCGACAATATCTGCACTATCACAGAGGGTCGTACAGGGGGGTCTCTGGCACGGTTCACGAACGGGAAATAAAGAGGATCACGGATCACAGATATAAAAATTTCGTTTTCCCGAATCACGAAAATAAGCAAGTAAGATGCTCTCTTTAATGACCTGTTCTTCACTAGAAGCAGTGTTTGAGGAAAGCAAAATCGCGAATGGCTAAGTCAAGACTCCATATTGCAAATCGCACACCCACATGTAAGTCGCTCTCGATAGACGACTCTAACCATTCGGAGGACTTGTGTCTGAAAATCACACACAGTAGAGTGGTAAATCACGAATATCGGTTAATAATTCAGGTTCTTCACGGGTCATGCAAAACCTTCTGGTCACGAGTCACGAAGAATAATTTCCTAAATTCACGTTTTACGGAAAATAAAATCAGCTAATCACGCATCACGAGAATACCCCTGTACGACNGTTTTACGTGGCGTGAACCTGAAAAGACTTAAATTAATAGCAAGAATTCTTGGCGCGGGCAGAGAATTAGTTGTCACCATTCATTTTCTTCTTCAAACGCAAGCCACGAGTTTAGCGCGCGTGTAGGCGCGAGCTCAAGTGTACCGCGAGATCTCGACGCGGGAAAATTCTAGAGCGCATTCTCCTCGCAATATCAAAAATGGCGGACGAAGCAACAATTTCAAGTTTACCCAAAGAATGTATGTTAAGCCTCAGCCTTGATGATCAAAGCAGTATATAGTTATCTCAAAATACAAGGTACATGTACCTCGAGGAGTTATGAGGGTTTGCCATGTTGGAGTATTCGGCTGGATCCAGCTTTTTTATTCGCTCTTGGACTCGTGGATGAAGGTCGGCAAGTTTTGTGTATTCCTGAAGTGAATACATGAAATGATCAGTTCAAAATAACAGTGAGTAGAACATTTTTATAATATAAAGTGGCATTTACACAAGGAATCTAGCTTCAATAACTATAAACAAACTCTGAAAAATAGCCGACAATATCTGCAGTATCACAGAGGGTCGTACAGGGGGTCTCTGGTACGGTTCACGAACGGGAAATATAGAGGATCACGGATGACGGATGTAAAGATTTCGTTTTCCCGAATCACGAAAATAAGCAAGTAAGATACTCTTTTTAATGATCTGTTCTTACACGAGAAGCAGTGTTTGACGAAAGTAAAATCGCGAATGGCTAAGTCAAGGCTCCATATTGCAAATCGCATACCTAAGTCACTCTCGATAAACGACTCTAACCATTCGGAGGACTTGTGTCTGAAAATCACGTAGAATAGAGTGGTAAATCACGAATATCGGTTAATAATTCAGGTTCTTCACGGGTCATGCAAAACCTTCTGATCACGAGTCACGAAGAATAATTTCCTAAATTCACGTTTTACGGAAAATAAAATCAGCTAATCACGCATCACGAGAATACCCCTGTACGACCCTTATCACATGACAGTTCTCTGCAAAGAGGATCTATCATGGTCATTGCAGTTGAAAGGGTTGAGGTGCATCAGAAAAAGTATCATACGTTGTAGGGTTGAAAAATGTAGGGTCTTGGTTTTGAAAAACCGTCCTATCCTTCCCCCATCCCCTGCCCCCTGCCACTTCCACTGCCCCTCCATAACATCTTTAGACTAGGACTACAGCTGCCTCCTACCCAGTCCCCCTACCAATAAAAGGAGAGCTCTAGAGGCTCAGATTAAAAAACATTTCAGCTCTTCTATGCGCTATCCGCGGGCCAGTCCAACTGTAAAATGTAGATTTTATTAAGAAATAAACTGATGACTGGCATTTCTCACCACGTCAAAATACCTGTGAAGTATCCCTATAATCTTCTGCAGTGGACAAGTCAAATCCTACTTTATAGACGAGTTCAATGTAATACAGACTTCTTACAGTCAATTTTTTAGTGCCAGTATGCCCTGTTGCCAGATCTTAGTGGTTTCTGTATTAGCAGGGTTTGACTGCACATGTAGATACATACATATTTACTATCAGATTGATGTAACGCTGAGGACTGTTTCTAAGTTTAAGAGCAGTGTACGTGCACTTTGCAGCATCTCCGCTTACCTGTCCCACTTTTGAATAGAAAACTGGTCTTGCTTTTGTGCCGTGAGTGAATCCTGTGCCACGTTCTGATCCATGAGACAAAACTGGCAGACTCTCATTCCCCTGTGAGTGAAATATAATATTATGTAAGTATGAATCATCATAAATTAGCTTAGCAGGAATTGGTCCATGATGAGTTTATAACAGTTATAAATTTATTAAACTCACATGCAGATATTCAACAGGGAGAAAATCTCTCTTCATAATACTTGAGCCTGTTGGTCTGTGAGTCCATCGTGGCTGAAAACAAAGAATATCATAAACACATTTTATTAGTTAATCCATTAATTACTCAGCAAACTTAATTCATTGTAGCAACTTAAGGCATATGAAGAGCTGAGGAACAGTGCAATGGCCCAAAGGTAATCTTAATCCTTTTAAAAGACATAATACACTGTTTAGCCCAAATTGTTTGTACAGCAGTGGTAAAGTGATGTGGGGTAGGGAAGTGAGTAGGGTGTAAGATGCTCTCGTCTCAGTCATAACAAAATGTGAATTGCTGAGTTGAGAAAAAAAAATGAGTTGAGGAAAAAAATAGTAAACTTAAGTCTACTGCATTTATTAAAGTAGAGAACTTGTTAGAGGGGAACTACATTGTGTCATGAGCATCACCTCGAAAAGGCAAAACTTAATAAAATATTTAGCAGTAAGGTACATTTAGTCCTGTGGCAAGTCATTCAATCATCACACATCTTACATCTCTTATTCCTTCATGAGCCTCCATCGGATTGAAAGTGATTGGCTCATCGTTATAAGCATGTGTAAAGCCTGATCCCTCTTTATATCCCACAGTCTTTGTTGAAGTGTCCACTGAAAGAAAAAGAACCATCTTAAGCGCAAATTACATGTTTTGTCGACAGTCATGTGCAAGCAGCAGTACTTACTTCGCTGACTGGTAGTTCCAAGAAAGTTGGTGTGGTTTTCTGTGGACATGTAGCTTGGTCCCTGAAGAAATGAAATCAAGAAATGGTGAAATCTTGAAAATAGTGTTGACTTTTTAACTCAGATTTTTAACTCTTCAGTGGATGTTGTAAAGAGCATGGGAAAAGTTTTGTAAAATACAGTATATCATGTGTGTTTGCCCCAGTCAGGGATGGAATTCCAATGTACAGACTGTATATGGAGGGGGAAGTTTCAGTTGTACAATCTGTATCATGTTTTCTGTTCAACATTTAATGTGGCAGCATGTGTTTTAGCTTCCAGATAATTATAATGAAACGAAGCACCTTAGTTTACTAATTTTCAACTTACATGGAAGGCATTTTCTCTGGAAATGGGATCCTTCTGTCTGAGAGTGTGCAGCAAGGGACGATGAAATGGATACACTGTTCCCTTAGCTCTGGTGTCAATGTGAATATCTCTTACCTATTGTTGTAAAAAGCAAGGATTGTCTTTTACCTGAATAGTGATTTAATTGATAAGAAGACTATTATCTTGCCACATATTAATAACCAAGAATATAAACATTATTGACAAAATTAAGATGCCTTTTCAAGCCACTCCCAGGGATGAATACAGGATTTGTCAAGGCTGGGTGGCTTTAAGGTAATCCCCCACCTAAATCTGGCCTTGACCCTACATGTATATTTCTCAGAATTGTCAATAAAAAGATGTAAGCTTATTAGAGGCAAATAATTATTAAGTACATGTATTATTTTTACCTTGCTCTAGAAGTACCTGAGTGCCGCATGCAACCAATTTCTGCTTTGGGGGAACTGGAAAAATGTCTATTTTTCATATAAGCTTATTATAGTGCTGGGCACCCAGGATTTCATGGTTAGAAACTTTTGGGCTCCTCATAATTTTTCAAGGACCACAGCCTTGACCAGTCACACTAGATTAGAATTCATTTCCTTAGATGCTACTGGGCACAGTTGCTTACCTGTCTCGATCTTGGAATGGTGACAGGGATGTCTTTAACAAACCCACTAGTTACTGTCATGTAGAGTCCTCTGGAGAAGGGATCAATGCCACTTGATCCTTTGGAAGGCAAAAAGTGTTTCTTGGTAATGGATGTGTAATTGTCTGTCAAAAGACGACTGAGGGAAGCAAAGAAAATTTCAATTTCTTAATAATAATATAATTTATATTAGAATAGGAATTAAATTAAGTTATTTTCTCAACAACTTAACTATAAAACATTGTGACAATATGGAAAAACTTTTAAGTTTTAAAAAACCATTTTGGTTTAAAAAACAACAACAATGTTTCGATGTTTGCTTAACATCATTATCAAGTCAACTGCGTGAATAAAATGGGCACAAATTTAAATATAAATGAAGAAAAACTTGTAAAACTTGTTAAACTTGTAAATTAAGTTAAAGTAACACAAAAGTGTGTACAGGTTACTTAATAAGCATCTGAAACTTGTAAAACTCCAAAACAAGTTCTACTATATAATTATAATAACATTAAACATGTGCTATAAGTGTCCAGTGCATCTTCTGAGACCCAGTTCAAACTTCTTGTGACATCTCAAGTTCTTACCCATGTCATCTATCAGAGAATAGATAGAGAGATAGCATGACTATGTGATGTGGCTCAAACTTGCGATCATAGTTCGTATAGTAGCTCATTTTGTTGTCAACCGGGTTTTGCCAATTGATATATTTGTTAATTTTTGCCATTGGGATTTGTTGGGGAACAAAACAGAGTTAAATAAGTAACAGGCCACCATAATAGTAAATGGTTTGAACCCAGGAGTATCAGTAGTTTGTATAGTGTGATCGTCCGGATGAGGGTAGTTCTGAAAAGAACTGTTGTTGGTGACTGACGCTTCAACAACCTGAGCGGAAGATGACTTCTGCTCAGGTTGTCAAAACATCAGTCACCAACAACAGTTCTTTTCAGTACTACCCTCACCCGGACAATCACACTACATGAGGCCACCATAATGTAGTTGATAGTTCACCTGGAGAAACACTTAACTGACAGCTTGAAAAATATATGTATTTTAATTTACAGTGTATGCCCACAATTTGATCTGAGTTTGACACTACAGAAAGCCATCAAAGGCAGTGAAAAGCTAATGTTGTTTTGGACAAATTTTCAAACATTGTATCTTTTAGTCATTGTACTCACTGTACACACAATGTATTGCATTTTGAAACTTGTATCTTTTACAAAACTTTGTTGGCAATCAGAGCTTTCTACTATTAAGAGTATGATAAGTTATTTAGTGATACATTTGACTTTGTCTTGTGGACCACCTAGTTTACGTGTTATCATCCATTACATTTTTCCTTCTAGCCCAGAGCTACAAGTAATAGTGCATTTTATACGTACTGTGATTATCCTCAGACACAGTCAGTAACAACCCTTTACTAGTGGTGGATCCAGACCTTGAGCTAAGGGGGGAGGGGGGGATGGAGGGGGGGGGGTTTGCTTGCCCTGTTGGCTTTTCTTTCTTCTGTGACTTTTTTTGTACCCAAAATAAGGGAGGTGGGGGCTTCGCCACTGTTTATATGTATTTGCAAATATGATTACTTCATCATCTTACCCCATTGCAGGGTTATCAAGCTCATCCAAGCGACGACTGTAATAGACCCCTGGTCTAAAATTAGACTGATATCCAGTACCAGAATGATGACCAGTCCTAGGAATAAAGCCTTCCTTGCCATAGTTGGTTGAATATTCTGTACAGTAGAACTTCATGACCCCCTTGTCTGGGCCCTTGCTCTGTAGAATGTGGGCGTTTCCTGGCCCATAAGGGAGACGTCCCATTTTTATGTGGTTCTACAGGAAAAGATGAACTGTTGTAACAGTGAATATCATCAATCTACAGCGGCCCTATACAAGTCACATGTCTTTAACAGTAAATCTTAGACTAAATAAATTGCCAACAGAAGGGTTACGAAAAGTTTTAAATTATAATCGGCGCTTACATTACTTTCATCAATGTACATAATTTTTTTGCGATAAATACCTCATCAGCATTTTTTAAGCAATGAAAACGCTGCGTATACACAACATCGTGCTGCAATTAAGTAGGACTCGTGAGCAGTATTCGATTAAATCGAAACACTAATGCTTACGTATCGTGAATCGATGTTAAAGCCCTGTGAAAGCTTGGTATGTTTGGACCGTGGAAACTACTAAAGGACTATGACCCTTTCTTTGAGTCAATTTACTTTTTAAACTTCCAAAGAACTTAAGCTTACATGTTTTGGCTAAAAACAGAAACATTTCTATCTTAGATTAACATAAGTGCTATTTGTCATCTGGCTCGACCGAAGTTTCGCAATGTGAAAATCCTGTTGATTGTGCGATTGAGGGGTAAATCACTCTTCTATAAGACGTTACATTAAAATTAAGACTACACTTTTACCTTCCGTTGATGATAAGGTCTTCTCTGTGTAAATTTTAGGAAAATAATTCGTAGAAATGTTGTTCACTTCAAGATTATTTCAGTCATTCCTGGGTACAACAACGCGGTTACCAAGGTGACTAATGGGCAACCGCTGATCAAATACTTCCGCCGTGCGGAAACAAATTAATAGGTGCGTAACGCGTAACGCGTTGTACAGGAGTGTAACGCACTAAAGTAACACAATTCCATAACTTTTCGTCTGTTTCACTGTAAATTGGGCGCATTTAAAAGTATTCTTTAGGGAGAATTGAGTTTACTCTCTCCCGTACACGATTCGCTGTTCACCTTGTGTAAATCCGTTAGCGACAAATATTTCTGAGGTTTTAACAGTTTTCAAATAACAAGTGGGCGATTGCATTGTCATCTGGTTGATTGTCATGCAAAACTGACAAGTTTACTTCATCTTCAACAGAGAAGGGAAAGTGAAAGGAAGGCCTGCGATCAGACAAGAGAGATGAGTTTTGCACTGCGTGAAACCTGTATTGTTCCGTTGAGTCTGTTGCTTTTCGTGGAAGTTCTATCGATCAAAGACTGTTGTCCAAAGCCTTTGGATCCTGATGCGTTTCGCAATGTTGTGAGTTTATATGCGATCTTATGCGATACTTTTGCTACATTATTTCTTCGTGTGATTTCAATAATGCGTTTTAGTTTGGCCGTGTATGTCTGTGCCGTTATTGAAAATCCACATTACAAATCAGTTGACATCAGTACACTGTCTGTTTAGTATTCATTTATGTCATTCGTATACAGGCCAAGTCTTGAAAATCTTTCATGTATTCCGAGAAAACATTATGCAGAGGTCAAATTCTATCGTGACCAGGGAAATAGGCGAAGAAAGTAGTTTGACGTTCAGACAAAATACTTATGCATTGCTTGACCGCCTTCTTTTCGTTTCTTCTCCTGCGATGGCAAAACACAGCCATCACCACGCTAAAATTGCTGTTGCATAACACGGTGCACATAAGCTTAAATACAGTATCTTTTCCTTGGTGACTAGCACTCCGAAGAACATCTCGTTAAGCTCAGTATTCAGTATATAACATGGAAACTGTGGAAATAGGTCTCTTCAAGGACGTTAATTTATTGTATTCATACGTTAATCGTGTTGAGGAGGCCAGGGGGCGTTACCCAGGAAGTGAAAGGGGGAGGAGGGAACATTACGAGAGGCGGGGTGGGAAGTAGAATTCCCTGTGAGAAATAGGTCAACATATTGCAGCATTGTGTCATATTTTGCAATACAAAAAACACTAAGAGGTGGGAACACCATTGAGGAAAGGACAGGAACCCTAGTAAATATGTGCAAACAGGGAAGGATGATTTAAGAGAAGCCTTTCTTTCTCTAAAGAATTGTTAACAAAGCACTTGCAACAGGGCTGTAAACTATGACTATGGTAATCTCTGTTGGTATCTGCTGCTTGTCTTTGAACAACTTTAGAGTCAGCTGATCACAAATCGTGGCTACCCAGTGGAAGAACATTATGTGACCACCCTGGATAATTTTATACTTGGTATTCAGCGCATTCCACATGGACAAGCTCAGAGAACTCAGGCCCAAGCGGTCCCCAAACCTGTGGTGTTCCTACAGCATGGCCTCCTGGCGGACTCCTCTAACTGGGTCCAAAATTATCCTTGGGACAGCCTGGGCTACATCTTGGCGGACAATGGTTTCGATGTATGGCTCGGTAACATCCGGGGAAATAGATACTCAAGAAGCAATCTTGACCTAAAACCTTCCCACAGAAAATTTTGGGATTGGAGGTAAGTTTTCTTGAGATGATAACTTAAGATTTGCTAGATAGACTGTAGACAGCAGGTATATTTTGCAGGTTGCAGGTTGCAGGTTGAAATTTAATTATAACTGGAAAACTGCTGACACTTAAAAGAAATGTACAGGTGGTAGACTTACCATGACTGTTACATGACACTGTTTACAATCGCTCAGAAAGGTGGCTTCCATTTAAGTGCCTAATCGGCCAAAGCGATGGGAGGAGAGTATATTCCTATCATTTTAAGCTGGCAATGAATTGTTGTCTTTGAAGAAACATCTGAAATATCATCTGAAATATCTGCTGAATTTGGTTTCTTCCCTGTGAGTACCAAAATGAAAGCACACTGGGCTTGTGCTAGTATANCCTGCCGAAATTTGCTCGTCCTCTTTACTTTTTTTTTTTGTCACTAGGCTTTTTGGCACTTCCATAAATGATTGAGAAGAAAATAAAAGAAAATGGTGAACATTTTTGTATTTTAGTCTGCTACTTTTTCAACGCAAAATGAAGACCGCGGTCAATATCAATTTCAGCCAATCAAATTCGTGAATTCGGTAGTTCCCAGTCCTTGTGAGACACAGCCATATAATAATTATTTTTAGTGCCCACGGTTTTCCAGTTATAATTAAATTTCAACCTGTAACCTGCAACCTGCAAAATATACCTACCGGACTGTAGAGACTACGCAGGAAATTAAATTTTAGGCTGATGTTCACTATGTTCTAATGGTGTACGGAATTTTACATTTCCATTCATAAAATTTTATTTATACTCGAACTTTTAAACAGCTAACACAAGCTGGATAAATGAATCAAAGAGAAAGGAAAAAACAAATTAACAAACAAACAATGGATGACACCGGTGTCTGAAAATTAAAGCGGAACAGCTTACAGCAAAAACCCATCGCATGCAACCCATTTTTAAACAATTAAAATCCTCTTTCACCCATCGCATGTAATGGTCTTACCGATTTTTCATTTTTTTGCAATACAACCATTCCGCGCCAAAATTAAATAATCAAAAGGTTTGCGAACTCCCACTTAACCACACGTCTCAGATGACTAAAAAATTCAAATGTTAAAACTAGCAAATAACAAGTTCACAATCGCATTCACCAATCGCGTTCATTGCACTTCACNCCCCTCCGCCTACTCAAAAAAAGGTGGAACTAAATCGCAAATTGGCACCCTACTCCGTAGCTACGGGATCAAGAACCCTTCTATTCTCTCGAGCTCTTTTAGGTTGTAGATAGCGCCTGACTCCTGGCAACGCGACAAGTTTGAACAAATGAGCGAGGATGAGCACAAATCAGCTTTTGGATCACGACGGAATTTCGACGTTTCGACGTTAATCGATTTTCCGACGGGACAGCCGTGACGGGACTCAGGTTTCTTCCTGTGTCCCATGCTCACGACACGATGAACATTCGTCGTCCACTTTTTTTTCTTCAGTTTTCAGGAAATGGCACAATATGACATTCCCGCCATGTTGGAACACGTATTGAAGGTCAGCGGTCAAACTCAACTGTTTTACATTGGCCACTCTCAAGGAACCTTGATCGGTTTCACGGAATTCTCAGCCAATCCTGAACTAGCAAAGAAAGTAAAGTTGTTTATTGCCTTGGCACCCATTTTCTACTTGAACCACACTGCGGCAATATTGAGAGACTTGGCTTTTACCCTGAATCCCATTGAGGTATGAGCTGTTACCATAAGACTGCGTTAGCTTTTTAAGCCTGATAGAGACCTTTCGAGAAAACGAAGAGAGCGAGAGAGAGCACGGAAACCGCTTACCCCACTACAAGACAAAACAGTACCGTATGTTACTCCATTGTCATATTTTGGTCAGTAGGCCGTTTTACAGTTATGTGCTCAGTTACCTGGCCTTTGAATGCAAGCGAGGCTGGAGGTGACCTTGCTTTGATACAGAACTCTCTGCTTTTTCATTTAACTGCGAACAAGTTAGCATGAGAGCAACTTGATTTACACTACAAAAGCAGCGAGGTCTGTACCAAAACAAGGTCACATCCAGCCACGCTGCCATTCAGAGGCCAGGTCACTGAGCAGACAACTGTAAAATGGTTGTATTTGTAAAGAAAACTATGCCAGTGATCAACCTCGTTCCCAGGGTCTCTCATCTTTCCCCCAGCCCTCTCTCGGTCGATCTCGTTCCGGTAGAGCTGGAAGATACTGTAAGAGATCCTGGGAACAAGGTTGATCTGTGATGGGCCTTTTTAGGTTTTAATGGAGTGACAACCTTGAGATTCCATTATCGTCTGAGTCGAACAGCCTCACCCAAGCTCACTTTTGTAATGCCTATCAAAGATTATAAATTAATTAACCAATTCGTAAGTTAATAAATTGAGACCTCAGCAGCAGTGAACGGCTAATTCGTGTCATTTCAAGTCAAGTTTCCACTTGTATACTGTTTCTCTTTAATTCAAGTGGTTTTTCTGGTTTTTTTTCAGCAATTTCTTCATCCTCTTGGCGAGAGCGAGTTCTTGCCTGGCCGAGTGCTTCAAAAACTCTTAGATATTGGCTTTTGTGGCGGCAAATGGTCAGAGAAAGTTTGCTATGATATCGGGGAGCTTGTGTTTGGTTTCGATGACATCAACAACAATATGGTAAGTATGGAATTATTTTCATTCTAAGGCCCAGCCCACACTACGCCGCAGAAAACGCAGCATTATTTCTACGGTTAGGCCTACTGTCCACACTACGCCGCAGAAAACGCAGCATTATTTCTACGGTTAGGCCTACTGTCCACACTAGTCAAGCTCGAAAACGGAGGTTTTAGAAAACGCTCTTCGAAAACGCTCTTCGAACCGGAGGAATTTGAAAACGCCGGCTTTGCGTTTTAGTGTGGACGGAAAACATTTTGAAAACGGAGGTTTTAAAAAATGATGACGTTATGAATCATGTGATTTCTCTGTCCGAGTTTTCCTCAAACGCAAATCCAAAAATAATGACCGGTGATTGTTGCGCTTTCAAATTTCTCCGGCGTAGTGTGGCCTGAGCCTATAAAAGACAAACAGTGAGCTGCAAGACTGCGCTAAAAGCTGTGACGTTGCTCCGAGAGGTTGGTTAATAGTAAAACGCATAACGGCGTAACCAGCAACTGCGTAACGGAATTTTNCTGACGTAACTAACTCATCATCGTACAGTGGTAAAAGTCTCAGAAAAGAGATTAATGTTGAAAAATTTTCGCGCGAACGTCCTTAAGCTAATTCGAACGTTATTTGTTTTCCATACCAGAGCCGGGTTCCGGTCTATTTATCGAATTGGCCAGCGGGTACTTCCTTGAAGAACATCATTCATTTTGGCCAGGTATGTAAGGAACTAACCACTTTGCGCTGTTTAGCTCTTGAGTTGTTTTTGTTTTCTTTTTATCCTTGTTTCGCCTATTTTGGTTTGTGAACACTTTCGTCAGTCTGTCGGAATCGTTACCTCATGAATTCACTTGATTTTTACTTGAAAGAGGATAAACCACAAATTATTTTTTTTTTTGTATCGGTTGTTGATTGACAGCTCATAGTATCGGGAAGGTGTCAGAAGTTTGACTATGGAAGGAAAGGAAACCGACAGCATTACAATCAGGTATGTTATGTTGCAATATTGTTCATCACAAAAACACTCATCTAACATTTTTTGTAATTTTTAGTTTTTTTAATTTTTTTAAATAGTCGGCTTGGTGAGGCTGAGTAGGCCTCCAGCAATGGAGTATGCAAATTTAGCGAGAAATAAAATGGAATCCGAGTTTTTCAGTTGAATGTGAACCACAGGGCATGTAATACTGAATTCAGTTCTGTTTTTTTTTCTGTATAAGAAAGCGAATACTCCTATAAAGTCATTCAAAAACTTAGTAGATTGAAGTTGAAAATGTCAGTACATTCATGCCTATTAATATGAATTGCAATTGACAAGTATTGCGCAGTTTTTTTTATTACTTTTACTCTTGAACAGTCTATAATTTAATAGGTGTCTTTCATGGGGATATGTAGTTGACACACAAAACACTAACAACAAAAGAGCGATAGCTAAATCAGTAAGCACTGCCCTGTTTGTCAAACGGCGCGCAAGCTTGGATGCGCCAAAAAGTGTTGTGAAACCTCCCAACTCAACTGCGTTTTCCGATTGTAGGAGAACGTGTAACGTGTCGTCGACGTGGGTCAAAACATTGAGGGTCTTGGGGTCCAGGTATTAAGTGCTTATTGATCGCCAACTAGAAACTCAGACATTCATGATGTACTCAATATGGCTTTTTAATCTCTCTCTGTTTGGCATATTTTAATCTTAAGATCAATATTTATGTTTTACAAGGTTTCAAGTTCTTCGTTCTCTGTTGTATCTTCGCGCCTCGTATATCGCCTAGTCTAACCCCGTTTTTTCAAGTCCAGTTCTTGAACTCTCCATTCTCTGCTCTATATCTATGCAGATGAATTATAACCTTTTGTTGTCGTAAACTAATTTCCTTTATGTTTAACGCTTTGTGCTGCCATTTGCTTTAATTTTGTAATTCGTGACGACTCAGCGTTCATTTTTCATATGTTTAGCTCTGGACCAGATTGTTCGAAAGCCGGTTACAACGGCAACAATAACAACGACAACAACAGTAACAGCAACAACCATAACGACAGCGACAATAGCAACAATAGCAACAACAACAACAACAACAATAGCAACGACAACAATAACAGCAACAACAATAGCAACAACGACAACAATAACAGCAGCAGCAACAACAACAACAACGACGACGACGACAACAATAATAACAACAACAACAACAGAAACAATAAAGACAACACAATAACAACAACAAAAACAATAACAGCAACAGCAACAATGACAACGACAACAACAACAACAACAGAAACAACAGCAACTACAATAACAACAACAACGACGACAATAACAACAACAGCAACAACAACAACAACAATAATAGCAACAATAACAACAACAACAACGGAAACAGCAACAACAACAATAACAGCAACAACAATAACAACAACAACGACGACAACGACAATAACAACAATAGCAACAACAACAACAACAACAACAACAACAGTAACAACAACAACAGCAACAACAACAATAGCGACAACAACAACAACAATAACAGCAACAACAATAACAGCAACGACAATAACAACAACAGCAACAACGACAATAACAACAATAACAACAACAACGACAATAATAGCAACAGCAACAACAACAACAACAACAATAACAACCGACCATTTTATAATGCCAGATTTACAAGAAGTTAGTTTTGATAATACATTGTTCGTGGCTAGCGTTAGGCAGCTCGTTTCGTTCCGCCCAAGGGACTCTTCAGAGACCTTTCTGCTTGGAAAACTCTTGGACATCGCACCCAAAGTCCCGTTCGCTAACAAAATGATGACAGCAATCTCGCCTTATATTGCATAAGGATTCCCGACTGCACAAATTCACGATTGAAAATTGACAATAAAGTGGACAGTTACTTGTGATAATACATTGTTCGTGGCTAGTCCAGATTTACAAGAAAAGGAAAACACAGCATAAAAACAGTTTACTTAATTAGGCAAAAAACTACGCAGAATAGTAAGAAAACTAGACAAGCTGATCATGAGCAGATATAGAAACGCTAACCCAGGATTAAAAGTCAACCGAAGTGTCAATTTTTTTTGTATAAAAATGTATTCCGTTGCTTATGTTTTGTGTAGTTTGAGTTGATTCAAATTCAAAACCGGAGGGCAAACAATTTAAACAGAAAACCAAACCGAAAAGTTACAAAACTGAAATCAAAATTCTCGCCAATCCCAGGTTAACTTAATCGGGTTTTGAACAATGCGGCCTTGGCGTTGAATTTGTACACAAGGCAGTTTCTTGCATTAACCCTGTTTCTCCTTTGTTTCTTTTTAAGGACACGCCCCCTGTTTACGACGCAACGAAGATGACCACTCCTACGGTACTTTTCTTTGGCGGCCATGATACACTGGCAAACAAAACAGATGTTGAAGCTCTAAAGTCTAAATTGTCCCACCTTAAATATTACGAGTATCTCAGTAAATGGAATCACATCGATTTTGTCTTTGGAATAAACGCCAAAGAAACTTTATACGACAAGCTTGTTGATATCATAAAAGGAGCTCTTTTGGCATAGCAATGAAGTTAGCAACGGCAGTGCACAT